GTCAAGATCGTGTACAGGTGGTGAGTCAAGATTCTGAACTGGTGGTGAGTCAAGATTGTGAACTGGACTAGTGGTGGTTTGTCAAGATCGTGTACAGGTGGTGAGTCAAGATTGAGTACAGGTGGTGTCAAGATTGTGAACTGGACTAGTGGTGGTGAGTCAAGATTGTGTACCGGGTGTACTGGTGTTGAGTCAAGATTTTGTTCTGGGGGTGAGTCAAGATCATTAACTGGCGGTGAGTCAAGGTTGGGTACAGGTGGTGTCAAGATTTTGAACTGGACTAGTGGTAGTTTGTCAAGATCGTGTACAGGTGGTGAGTCAAGATCGTGTACTGGTGGTGATTTAAGATTGTGTACTGGTGAAGAGTCAAGATCGTGTACAGGTGGTGAGTCAAGATCGTGTACTGGTGGGGATTTAAGATTGTGTACTGGTGAAGAGTCAAGATCGTGTACAGGTGGAGAGTCAAGATCGTGTACTGGTGGTGAGTATCATGTTCTGGTGGTGAGTCAAGATTGTGTACTAGTGGTAAGTCAAGATCATGTACTGGCAGTGAGTCAAGATCATGTACTGGCAGTGAGTCAAGATCATGTACTGGCAGTGAGTCAAGATTGTGTACTGGTGTTGAGTCAAGATTTTGTTCTGGTGGTGAGTCAAGATCATGTACTGGTGGTGAGTCAAGATCATGTACTGGTGGTGACGATAACATACTTGAAGTAAAGCGAACAAGGTTTTTGATGAGCCACGTCCACTTCGCTGGCCCGACTGGCATGACCTCCACATACTGTGTAACATCCTCATTTGCCTGTAAAATTATTATAATAGTGTTACATCTTCTTTCATCTGTAAGTTATAAGTCCATGCAAAAATGGAAACATCCTAGTTCATCCATTATCAAAGGTTTGTTTGTGAAATTTCTGGAGTATCTACCGTAAATCCTCCTTTAATCAAAAGCGTTATAGTGAATAGAAGGGGGTCTTTTTTTGTTATTATTGACTTTCTTCATTCTAATTAATAGCAGATCTTTTATAGATAATTCTGTCTGATAAATCAATTTAGTAATGTGCCATCTGGACAACCCTTTAAGTGACTTTCCTTCCTTGCCATCGGCTGAACAACTTGAACATATCTTATCTCCCTTGCATCCTGTAAAACCAGGAGCCTGTCAAACCAGTTTGTCTATCATTACAGATAGCAATTCAAGGATAAAGCCTAACGGAGCTGCAAATATTAATGCAGGCCTTGAAAGTGTCTGCCAGCACCGGCCAAAAGGCAACATCAAATCACAAGGTTCAACCCTATCTCATAAACAACAACTCTGTTCCAACCTGTCAAACCTGTCAAACCATTGTGAATAAGATATAAATGAAAGCAGATCATTTCTGCGGTGTCCATCCTGTAAAAACTTACCTCTCCTCAGGACAACTTATATATATCACATTCTATTGATAAGACTTACCTCCCCTGCTTCCCCCTGGACCACTCTGACAGGATCCAGTAGTATGTCCCTAGCCAAGCGCTCCACCTTCTTTTTAAATGTGGCACTGAAGAGTAACGCTGAAACAAAGGTACACAACTGTCATAACTATTCAACGCAGTATAAAGGAGCTACAGTCACATGGCATTGCCATGCCACCATTGTTGGTACCATGGTGACAGGACAACACTTACATAGCACATAATATTTATATCAGAAAATAATCTAGCATGTTAGCAGATGCCTCTTCAACAGCCCACACTAATTAGATGTAGATTTGAATTTTGCGATCTCTATATATTTTCATTTCATTTTTCATTTCGTGTCCATGACTGTGTAGAGCTACTGACAGATGATAGTTATGGGCAACAGAATTGCCAACCTGTTACCTAAACTAGTGAACTGCATACAAATATTTCTGTTCCACCGGTTAATGCTACAGAAATGCCTAATAGGACTACCAGTGCTCTCAGGTATGTAAAGGAGAAATTTTATACTGCACTTTGTGTAAAGCACTTTAGAGTAATTTTACAAATTATATAGGGCGCTATATAAATGTTGTATATTATTATTATTATTATTATACAGAAACATGTACTTTCAAAGTGAATGATGAATATCCTTGCACATAAAAAACCAGTTGGACAATGACCACGAGTAAGCCGAATAGGACATGTACCTTTGGCCTGTACGACTGATGGTTGAACTCTATGTGTATACTATAAGTAATGTTAAGTGCCTTAGAGTAATTTATTATAAAGGGCGCTAATATGTTGTATGTTATTATTGATAGATACAGTATTTTTTCCACAACCACTGTGTAAACACTCACTGAAATGGCTAATGCTTACTGAACATTGTATTTGGGAAAATAAACCATAAAACATAAATACATATCAAACAATTATGACTGTTTCTCAAGATCACTTACAATGGAAAATATAGCAAGTCCATAAAAAAACATAGCCCTGTCAACAGTTTTGACTATTGACTGGCAAAGTCCAACCACATTGGTTTTTCTGGTTACTTCAGTTTCCTCGCACATTAAGACCCTCCGTGTGCTAACATCCGTGATTACAACAAGAGTGATTAATATAAATTGAAATAACTTGTTTCATAATTGATGTAAAACTAATAAAGTTTATATTTAACAACCAGGCGTTATATGCAGCCTCAGGAAATGCTTCCTCCTGTCCCAACACCACAGAGAAAGGCTTTGACTGTGAGCGGTCAAGTCATGAAGTAACTGTAAACTGTCCTTGTAAACACTTACTTTGCCGGTTCTTCCTCACATGGCTTGCTATAGATCTGACCTGAGGCTCTGTAACAGAAGTCAATTGTCACACAGCTACCATAAATGGGTTTTAATTAACTTACGTTATTTAAGGATTTCTGTCTGGAAAGTTGAGATCTCTAAAACACTTTCCTGGTTACTATTTTGACATGTTTTTTTAATCAGGATCAAAAAAGAAAAAGAAATTTTTGAACCTTAATAATTCTCATTTAATTTCTTTGTTTGGGTAGATGAGATTCTAGAGCTTACTTATAAGTGAACTTTATGAATTATCTTTCATTCTGTATTTAAATTTTACGCAAAGCTCCATAATTTTAAAAGTTGGTTATCATATGCATCAAAAACCTAATCTTTGAGAGAGAGAGAAAACCTACCAAAGCCCATGTCAAACATACGGTCTGCCTCATCAAACACCAGGTACGTGACACGCTGCATGTTGGTGGCCTTCTTCTTCACCAGGTCTATCAAACGACCCTAGATACAAACACATGTAACTGTATTATGAAGAGTAATTAAAAAAAAAAATCCTCTACATACACAAAAACAGACATTAATTCTTCACCAAGTCTAACAATTGACCACACAGACATTATGCCACATCATACATGCTATTAAATAGAAAATCTTCGACAAACACAAACACCGACATTACTTCTTCAACAGATCTATTCAATGACACACACTCCCTTTAAACTACATCATTGAGACTACTTCCATCTAAATTTGTGAGTATGACTTTGTAAACAGGGCCCTGCCAATAACCAATATATGACACATTATGGTTCACAGGTGTATGAAGTTTCCTCAAATTATATTTCATCAGATAAGCAGGTGTCCTGGACAAGAAGATATTGACAGACAGATAATTCCTCTTTCCTCCCTATTGATACAAACAGGTGTTGCCAGTATGATCTCTGTGTCGTCCGGGAATCCTTCAATACCTTTGCTCCCTCATATTGCCCCCACTTCCCTCTCCCTATTGATACATACAGGTGTTACCAGTATGATCTCTGTGTCGTCCGGGAATCCTTCAATACCTTTGCTCCGTCATGTTGCCCCCCCCCCCCCCACTTCCCTCTCCCTATTGATACATAAAGGTGTTGCCTGTATGATCTTTGTGTCATCCCGGAATCCTTGAATACCTTTACTCCCTCATGTTGGCCCCCCTTCCCCCTTCCTATTGATACATACAGGTGCTGTCACAATGATACTGCCCTACCCTGTTGCCCCTCCCTATTTATACTTACAGGAGTCGCTACCATGATCTCTGCTCCCTCCTGACATGCCTTTGTCTGCTCATACATGTTGCCACCTCCATAAGCGCACACCACATTGATGTTGTACACTTTACCAAATTTCTTGGCCTCGTGGTATATCTGAAACATTACCATATGCAACATGATATTTTAGTAATTTTAGTAACTATTATATCAATAATATTTGTAATGAAAACATGGAAGGTGTATTACTCTAGAAAGCTGCATTCATCATCCAAAAATGTCTCAGTAAATTTCGTTAAGGCAAGGAAATCTCTTGAAATAGACTGAGACACTTCATTTATACACACACGTCTTTTTAACACTAAGGATTTAAAATTCATGCGTTAGAACCTGTTTAGCAATGGTTCATTGTGATTCTGCACAGATGCTACAATGTCCTATACGTACCTGCTGTGACAGTTCTCTGGTAGGGGCTAATATAAGCCCTATGGGTCCATCTCCTGGCTCCAATTCCTTCTGGTCCATAATGTGTACAAGGAGGGGCCAAAGATATGTGGCAGTCTTTCCACTACCAGTCTTAGCTATACCGATGACGTCTCGGCCATTCAGGACGATTGGCACCCCCTGGACATATATACTGGTTATAATTACATATAATGTACTAGAATACAGGTTATAAACCAGGTAATGATCTGAAACGATCTTCTTATTCGAACCTTGTACAGCATTATTCAATTCGATAAATCCAGGTATTGACCAAAGTTAAAGGCTACACTTGTTTTATAATTTTACAAAACAGTAATGTAAGCAATCTGAAAAAACCCACAACAAACAAGAGGCCCAAGGGCCTTAGCGGTCACCTGAGTTATATCATAGGTACTGGTAGCTTTATTTTATCGTTTAGATGTGATGTGGAAATCAGCATGTAAACTAAGTGAAATAGAATACTTGTCATGTCATCAAAGGATAAGAATTTGAAAATATTGGTAAATGTTCCCTTTGGGGCCCCACCCTAGCCCCTGGGGAAGTGGCAGGAATCCCAATTTTCCAAAGTAATACTCTCATTCACCAAAGATGATTCTGACTAAGTTTGAGTAATTTCCAACAGAAAATTGTCAAAATATACCCAAAAGTGTTGTTTCTCTATATAAATTATAGTAAACTTTACCCCCTCCTCAAGGGAGAACGGATAGCTCGGGGGTCCTGAAATTTACAATTTAAAGAAAGCCCCTGATGATCTTTCCATCCATGCAGAGAAAATGAATGTAATACCTCTGAGTGCTCAGGTGACCTAAAAAACTTCGGAAGTGGGATGGTGCATTGTTTGGAGACACGTCATAATTCTATTTTTAGAAACACCCAGTCTTTCAACAAAAATCCAAAATCCAAGTCAATATCGTTTTTTATCGGTGGACACGTCATGCACTCTTGGCCAATCACTTGTCGGGAATAATATGAAAAAATAATAATTCAATATATTTCTTTGTTGAACTTAATAAGGATCGACCCTCCACGAAGCAGTATTATGATTATATAGCGTATATACACATTTGTACACCCTCACTAAACATTTACTGACCTGAGCCTGTATCGGAGTTGGTTGTGTGTATTCAGATTTTCTTATCACTGACATCAGTTCATCATCAAATCCGAAGTGTGCAAAGCTAGTTGTTGGTCTGGGAGGGGAAAACCCAGATACCTAAAATAGGAACAACAGTTGTTACAAGCAGTGTACATAGACCCAATTATGTACTTACCATTAATGCTAAATAAAGATACAGACATATTGCATAAAAAGATGATTCTCGACATACATCAGATATTGTTTTAAGAATACAACTATTTTATTACTTAGGGATCCATGTCCCACTGCAAGGTGGTTTTCCGTATATATAGTAACCTCCCCTAAATTTCTTTTTCGATTTAACTGTAGCACAGGTGTGAATCCAGTTCTAATCTCTCTGAATTTTTACCATCAGAAACTACTGTTGATTATTTTAGTTTATTTTCTCTATATTATTTTGTATGTAAATCCCATGATGTAAGGTTTTCTTTCCAGAAATGGTTTATCAAATCTATGGTAAGAACAGCAAAGTCAGTTTCCAGTACATAGTTACAGTTTCCAGTGCCTAGTTACAGTTTCCAGTGCTTAGTTACAGTTTCCAGTGCCTAGTTACAGTTTCCAAAGCATAGTTACAGTTTCCAGTGCCAAGTTACAGTTTCCAGTGCCTAGTTACAGTTTTTCCAGTGCCTAGTTACAGTTTCCAGTACCTAGTTACAGTTTTTCCAGTGCCTAGTTACAGTTTCCAGTACATAGTTACAGTTTCCAGCGCACAGTTTCCAGTGCCTAGTTACAGTTTCCAGTGCCTAGTTAGTTTCCAGTACATAGTTACAGTTTCCAGTGCACAGTTACCAGTGCCTAGTTTCCAGTGCCTAGTTACAGTTTTTCCAGTGCCTAGTTACAGTTTCCAGTGCTTAGTTACAGTTTCCAGTACATTTACAGTTTCAAGTGCACAGTTACAGTTTCCAGTACATAGTTACACAGGGTTCCAGTACAAAGTTACATCCAGTACATAGTTACAGTTCCAGTACATAGTTACAGTTTCAAGTGCACAGTTACAGTTTCCAGTACATAGTTAAAGTTTCCAGTACATGGTTACAGTTTCCAGTACATAGTTACAGTTTCCAGTATATAGTTACAGTTTCAAGTACATAGTTACAGTTTCCAGTACATAGTTAGTTTCCAGTACCTAGTTACAGTTTCCAGTACCTAGTTACAGTTTCCAGGGTTCCAGTACAAAGTTACAGTTTCCAGTATATAGTTAGTTTCCAGTACTCCCTAGTTACAGTTAGTACATAGTTACAGTTTCCAGTGCCTAATTACAGTTTCCAGTGCCTTGTTACAGTTTCCAGTACATAGTTACAGTTTCCAGGTTTCCAGTACAAAGTTACAGTTTCCAGTACATAGTTACAGTTTCATGTGCCTAGTTACAGTTTCCAGTACATAGTTACAGTTTCCAGTACATAGTTACAGTTTCCAGAGCCTAGTTACAGTTTCCAGTGCTTAGTTACAGTTTCCAGTACATAGTTACAGTTTCCAGTACATGGTTACAGTTTCCAGTACATAGTTACAGTTTCAAAAGCATAGTTACAGTTTCCAGTGCCTAGTTACAGTTTTTCCAGTGCCTAGTTACAGTTTCCAGTACCTAGTTACAGTTTTTCCAGTGCCTAGTTACAGTTTCCAGTACATAGTTACAGTTTCCAGTGCACAGTTACCAGTCCCTAGTTACAGTTTCCAGTACAAAGTTACAGTTTCCAGTACATAATTACAGTTTCCAGTGCCTAGTTACAGATTCCAGTACATAGTTACAGTTTCCAGAGCACAGTTACAGTTTCCAGTACATAGATACAGTTTCCAGTGCCTAGTTACAGTTTCCAGTACATAGTTACAGTTTCCAGTGCACAGTTACAGTTTCCAGTACATAGTTACAGTTTCCAGTACATGGTAACAGTTTCCAGTACATAATTACAGATTCCAGTACATAGTTACAGTTTCCAGTACATAGTTACAGTTTCCAGTACATAGTTAGTTTCCAGTACCTAGTTACAGTTTCCAGCACATAGTTACAGTTTCCAGTACATAGTAACAGTTTCCAGTACATAGTTACAGTTTCCAGTACATAGTTACAGTTTCCAGTACATAGATACAGTTTCCAGTGCCTAGTTAGTTTTCCAGTGCCTAGTTACAGTTTCCAGTACATAGTTACAAATTCCAGTGCACAGTTACCAGTGCCTTGTTACAGTTTCCAGTACATAGTTGCAGTTTCCAGTACATAGTTACAGTTTCCAGTGCCTAGTTACAGTTTCCAGTGCCTAGTTACAGTTTCCAGTACATAGTTACAGTTTCCAGTACATAGTTACAGTTTCCAGTGCATAGTTACAGTTTCCAGTGCATAGTTACAGTTTCCAGTACATAGTTATAGTTTCCAGTGCTTAGTTACAGTTTCCAGTACATAGTTACAGTTTCCAGTGCCTAGTTACAATTTCCAGT